TGGAAGAGAGCTGCTTCCGAGATTCTCGCCTTCAGGTGTAAAATCACTGTCTGCGTCAGTTTTTTGTGGCAAATGTCCGCTACTATTTGCATTAACTCTGATATCTTCATTGTGGTTTGATGTTGCAGGCGCTGGAAACTGAGCAACCACACCTTCTACCAAAGACGATTTACTCTCAAGATTGTTTTTGAAATTCTGAGACTGATGTTCATTTGAATCAAAACCATGATCAACACTGCAACTCTCTGCCTTTGAACTTAGACCAGAGGAATCTGACTGGATTTGCTGGTTGTTAGACATGACGACAATACAGTTATTCTCCTGGTGTTGAGAATTCAGTGAATTTGTAGAGTTGGAAAAACCAAACGCCGCTTGCCAATCTTCTGACGAGTGAACGGGTGGCAGAACATCTGGCATGTGCGTTAAAGTAAGGCCATTTATTGGCCAGTCTGTTGTAGCTAAAAGCAAAAACAACAGCATTGAAAATATTATCTTTTTACGCAGTAATAACAAACCGACATATTTAAGAAACAATTCTGTGTGGAAATTTAAAACTTACTATTTCATCAAGGACAAGGACGTAAGAAATTTCAAAGAAAACTATTAACAGTTCTTGCAGGATATTCACTGTGACTATTGAATGAAAACACAAAATAAAGTTGAATATACAGGATTTTAGGTTCTCACAACATTGAGTATAAAGATGGCCGTTTTCTGGATAACAAAGTTCGCAAAACAATGCCACAGATAAATGGAATTTATTTTTGAAATTGTTATAACTTCAGAACTTGAACTGTGCACACATGAATAACCAGAGAGTCCAAAATCACAACTGTCTGCACCTATTTAGAAGTAATACATAAAAATATGACACCCGAGATAATATTATGTACTTGTCAGTGCAAGGGTCCATAAAAGCACTGACAGATTACAACAACAACAAAACCTCAATGTCACACACATCTAACATGGCCATTTTCTTCAAGTAATCCTCTACACAGATTATCCTGTTTATAATAAATAAAGATTTCCTCACCTGAACCTGTAGACGCTGCATCCACTTTCGTGAAATTATTAGCAGAGAAAAACGAATTGTTGTCCGGCTCAAATAACGTAGGCCTGTGACTGGCTGATAGGATCCAACTACCTAACTGTTGCCTTCCATTTGCGCCTACCATCGTACAAGAGTTTCGTACATCCCCTAAATTGTCATCACTTTCCTGAACATACGAATCTGCTTCCGTAATAGGTCCATTTATCACTTCACTTGATGAGGAAGAACTGGAGTTATTAGATGACCCAGCAGAATGTTGCAAATTCTGATGTAGGTCGTGTGATGATAAAGATCTCGAATTTGAATGCTGTGATTTACTGTGCACTAATTTATTTCCAGCTTCATCT